CCCTTAGATGTTCTGGGCCGCACGCGCGCTACACTGGTACGCTCAACGAGTATATAACCTTGATCGATAGGTCTGGGTAATCTTTTGAATACGTATCGTGCTAGGGATAGATTATTGCAATTATTAATCTTGAACGAGGAATTCCTAGTAAACGCAAGTCATCAGCTTGCATTGATTACGTCCCTGCCCTTTGTACACACCGCCCGTCGCACCTACCGATTGAATGACTCGGTGAGAAATTGGGACCGTTGTTTCGCTTGCTTCATTGTGAGTGGAACGGTGGGAACTTTTTCTAACCTCGCCATTTAGAGGAAGGTGAAGTCGTAACAAGGTTTCCGTAGGTGAACCTGCGGAAGGATCATTACCACACCAAAAAACTATCCACGTGAATGTATTCTTTATAAGGCTTGTGCTGGGATGTTCTTCGGGACGACCCGGCTAGCAGAAGGTTTCGCAAGAAGCCGATGTACTTTTAATCCCTTCTTAAATAACATACTGATAAACTTAGCCGTCAGAAATGATAGCTTGTAATAAAATACAACTTTCAACAGTGGATGTCTAGGCTGTTAAAGTGTCTTTATTAAACAATGTTAAGGTTTCGAACCACGTAATTGTGGATGAGTTGGGCGGTTGGAAAGGCGACTGCAAATCGCACTTAACAGGGTGCATTGGCGTTGAGAACTAGGTCTTCTTGTGACTTGGAGCTGTAGCGAGACGAGAAATTGGCTCGAATAAATCAGCAAGTAGTCCTTGAGTCCACGAAAGGCCGAAATGGCTGAGTAGGTGGGTTTTGATGTAATGAGCTGCTATCATCTTTACTCGATGAGGGCTTGGTTGGGCCACTGCGCCAAAGCCTAAATCGTTCCGGTGAAGCTACAGCGTGCGCAAGACAACACTACGAGTGATGTGAAAAAAGGTCTTGATGTCGTCGTGAACTTCGGGCGGTGCTACAGGTGCCAGAGCCATGTAGGATCCGAAGGCAATTTGGTCCCAGTGAATGGGACCTTGGACCAACTTCACAAAAAGTTCCAGAAATAACTCCCAAGTGACTTTGGCAATGGGGCAAAGCCAAAGTAAGTGTTGCGCATTCTCCAGGGTATTGCAACCAAAAGGACACTTTGTGTGGCGTTGAGTATTCCATTGTTGCTTGTATCCAAAGGATAAAGCGTTGTGTTGGAGTCGGAAATTGAAATCCGCGAACACTGGTAGCAGCACTTTGTCCATCTTGAGTTCAAACAACCAAACTCGGGAAGGCGGGATTTGAGAGAGTCAAGCCGCGCCCATGGAATTTCTTGGGGAATATGCTTTGTGACCAAAGCCAGAAGGTGCTTGTTCTTGATATTTGAGATGACGGAAGTGCCTTGTTCTTGGTTCATGGCAAACTTCCAGCTCAAACTGGCAGCACAAAAATTCCTGGGCAAGCGGGAAGCCGAAGCAGCGGCCCAATTTGACGGCTGAGGTAATTTTCCCGAAGTTGTCGAGCAGAAACGCGGTAGCTTGTAATCTTGTGGCGTCGTAGAAAATTTTCCAAAACGGATTCCGTGGGTGTGGCATCGAGGACTTGTTGGAAATCCGCCAAGGATACCATGCCAAGCGAAACGTACAGCTTCGACGTACGAGTCGCGGCTTGGAGGTTGACACTTGACAGGGTGTCTGCCAAAGTGGAGTCCAGCCAAATTGGAGTGTGTATCTTCGAGTAGTCGTCTTGAAACTTGATTCTTCGAGGAGCCATGTAGTCGTGCCAATTTCTTAGAACGGAGTACCAAAATCGACCAAGTAAGGATATAGCTCTGGGGCTTCGAGCTTGGGGCGGAGTTGGAAGAAAAAGAATATCCAAGCCATGTCCTGCGGGTGAAACCACTTGGTGCATAAGGGCCACGATGGGGTCTAACCAAGGCAGAACGGTAGCCGAAGCGCGTTGGAGTGCAAGGTCATTCAACATGGTGCGTAAACGGAGAACCTTGATACGGCTTGCAACAATGCTGGGAACTTCAAGCCCGCCTTCCTTACGTGAGAGTTGAATCCAGGCTCGGGAAAGGTGGTTAACCACTCAACCTTGTTTGTGTAGGCGGCCATGAACAAAATCCAGGGCTATTGACTCGATTTCTTCGACGACGGAGTTGGGAACATGGTAAACAGCAGCCATATACCAGAGCAAGGGAAGCACCATGGTTTGCAAGATGACAATACGGCCTTGCAAAGTTCTTGCACGGTATTTCCAGAGATTGCATCGACTCAGTACCCTTTGCACAATAGAACGATATCGGATATCAGGGCCTTCTTGAATGCCCAGCCAGCGGCATTGTTGACTACTCTGAATAAGCCTGGGACCTTGGAGTTGCTGAATGGCGTGTTCCAGTGTGTTAGGGTAAGTTGGGCAGAAGGGCATCACAATGGTTTTGCTGACGTTGAGTTTCATCCCCGTTACTAAGCAAAATTCTTGGACAAATCCAAGAAAGTCTTCGTATCTTCTAAGGAGGAAAGAAGGCCAGTAACGTCGTCAGCGAAGGCAATCGTGAGGTGGGTTGCTGATGGCGTGGACAGTCCCAAGTGTGACAAGCAGTGTCGCAAATAAACCAATAAAGGCTCGATAAATAGCACAAAGAGTGCCGGCGATATCGGATCACCTTTGACGGACGCCACTGCCAAGCAAAAATGGTTCCAATGGCGAAGAATTGAACAAGATGGACACCTCAGTGTCAGCAAACAGTTTTTCCATCCATGCGCAATAATTCGGCCCAAATCCAAAATGCTGGAGGGTCTGAAGCAGAATTGGCCGAGAAACAGTGTCGAAGGCCTACGCATATGATGGCTCCTGCATGGGTAAGTTGGTGTTCCTGGCACCATTGCTGAAGGCCGTGAAAAACGCGTGATGGTGTGTTGGATCGAATCTGCCGGGGGTAAATCCATACTGATCCGATCCCAGTAGGGAAGGCAGGATAGTATTCGTGCGTTTGGCGAGGATAGCAGGCGCAAGCTTGGCTACCACGTTGAGCAGGGTCAACGGCCTGTAATTAGAGTAATTAGAGTGCAGGTCTTTGGAGCAACCCTTGAAAAGCAGTGACAGGGATGCTTTCTGTTGCAGAGTAGTCATGCGTTTTCTTGAAAAGTTGAACGCGTGTACAATCTCCAGCAGGTTGCCCAGAGATCGGGATTGACTTGAAAATATTCGTAGGGAAGTCCGTCCGAGCCAGGAGCCTTGTGTTTCGGGCCAGCTTGAATTGCACTTGAAAATTTTGCCGCCGAAAGAGGTGCTTCTAAAAGTTCTCTTTGATCTTCAGTCAGGCAAGCTGACATGTGCTGAAGAATCACCCTGTGAAGGGTGGGATTCACTTCTTGTGTGGGAGCATCAAGGCTACGTGAGGGAGAGTGAAATATTTTCGCCCAGTAGCGTCGACACGCTGAATCGAGTCCCAGTCCTCAGAGTCCTTGACTGGAAAGGTGCAAGCCTGCTGCCGAGGGGCTGATGGCTTGAAGAAAGCGCTTTAGCATTTTTCTTGGGACTTGATTTGTTCGCGAAATAAGTCCAACTCATTGCGATTCTTGATTCTTCGAAGCGTATCTTGGAAGTGAAGCGGAGCGGCTTTCAGCTGACTTGACAACTCGTTGCTTGGTTGAGCTTCCAGCGCCGTGGAAATTTCAGCAACGCGGAGACGAAGACGATCAAATTCCTTCCGGTCTTGATCATGGTATGTAGTCACTATAGACTGGGGGTACATCTTGTCGTGAAAAAAATGGTCGTCCATAACCTTGGCAGGGTTGAAGCCCGGGGTACCCTGTGGCAATAATCCGGCTACAGTGCACTTCAAGGTGTAGTTGAGATGCTGTCGGACCTCCGGGAGCTGAAGTACCCAGGGTGGGCAGCGCCACGGTGCTTTTTGTTGGGTTTGTATGAGTTGACGGCCAAGGAAAAGGAAATTGGAGCATGATCGTTGTGGAAAAATGCTGGATACTTGTCCACATGATATCGGATCGACAGCAGGTTTTCTTGATGAAAAGCGTCAGATAGGAAAACATAGTCGATGCGATTGGAGTGAGTTGGGTTGGAATAGACTCGGGAATCTGTATTCAGTAGTCTCCAGGAGTCAACGACGATCAACAAAGACATCCAGCGCTCCAAAGCGTCAAGGCTAGTTGGCCGACGGTGGGAATGGACGACTTTCTCGAGCGTTGGGTTCAAAACGAGGTTGAAATCACCGCAAATAACGTGGTGAGAGTTCCCGTCGAAGTCGTTGGCAGGGCAGTGAAAAATTCTGCCTTTCGCGGGTCATCACCAGTGAGGGAGTAAAGCACATGGATGTATATCACGATGCCATCCAAGTTCCCTTTGACCACGAGATAACGGTTTTGAGCAATCTCGGGCAGGTCCAGTGGAGTAACATCCGTGAGATCTTGAACGGGGGAAGACTTTGAAAAGAGTAGGGCACAGCCATTTCTTCGCTCAAACATGTTACAACTGGAATTGGACCAAAAGCTGGAGCCTTGGGCATCAGTCTTGAACCAGTTGAGAGAAGCCATGCGCAACATGTTGTTGGAGGAAATTAATGTGTGTTTCGTGGAGGGCAATAAAATCGTAGCGGTTGAGGGGAAAATAATCGTGGGGTGTACTGTTCGCAAGACCGTTGGCATTGATGGATAAACCATTGAGCGACCAATTATGGGCTGGAGCCCACATTGGTCGATGTGAGTGCTTGGAAGGCAGCACTGAATGGTCTCATAGTGGCAGATGAGACCATGATTTTTCCCAACTCCGAGTTAACCCAGTCCGCGAGGGTGTCATCCGACCATAGAAGGAGCTTCGAGCACTCAATAGACACCAAAAGGCTTGTCTGCAACGTATGGGCCATTTTGACTGGGTCAAAGTAAATGGACGGAGCCGAAATCATTGCAAAAAGATCCCATAACGCCAGCTATATGTGATCTTGAGCGGAAAAATCGGGGGTCTCTTGGGAACACAGTCGATCCAGCGCGGCACCTGGGGAGGGCGTGTCACCCAATTGATCCTCGAATAAGCTGCAAAAATCATCCAGGACTTGAGCAATAGGTAAGTTGCGACCGTCGATCTTGAATGCTGCAGGCTTGGTGCTGCTGAGCAATCGGCATAGAGCGTGGCTAGTAGCTTTGCTGATCCAGTAGTCTTCCAGGCCAGGATGGGCAAGCTCAGGCCGAAAAAAGGTCGGTTGTGCTTGGAGGGTTTGAAGAAAATTATCGCCATATTGCATGTCTTCCAAAGACATTGACCAGCGAAGTCAGGTCTTCCTTGGAAATATTGTCGACATGAAATTGAGCTTGGAGTTGGATTTGGAGACCGTTGGGCTAATTCCAAGCGTCGTGGGCGAAAGAAAGACCTTGAGATCGAAATCGGGGATGTTGGAGTCCGGATCCAAGGTCAAAATTTCGTAGCGGTTCGGCAGAGGGACTTCCCAGTTGCGCGAGGACGTAGAGGCGTCAAGCTTTGTCTTGGCCTTGACTTCCACAGCTTCTGATTCTTCCGATGGAACTTCAAAAATGCGGGATTTGAGTTTCTTGTGCCAAATGGACGGAGAGTCTTTAAGCGTAGGTAAAGATGCAGGCGAACCAGATTCCGGAGTGGAATTTGTTTCTGGTGCAGACGAAGTCGGATGGTCGGCTTTTGCAGACGGAGTCAGATGGTCGGCTTGAGGCTACTGCACTGGAACTTTGCGTCGTTTGCCCTTGATACTGGGAGGTACAAAGTCATTCAGCGCCGAGATCTTGTGAACAACAAAAGTCGGAGGTTGGTCTTCAAGGAACAAAATTTCCCGGAGCGGCTCATCGGTTTTCTTTTGCGACCAAAGAAAAGCAGGCACGCGTTTGGAGTTGAAAATGATTTTCAACAAGTTGGATTGGAGTGAACCAACGGAGTGGGTGGGAAATACGAGCACCGGAGAGCAGCCATGGCCTTGAAAAAATCAAAAACAGCCAAGGGGCTCACCGTGGAAGGAACACGGTGAAGCTGAACCCAGTAAAATTGCCCAACCAGAGAGGGAGCATGAATAACATGGTCATAGCCGCAGATACAATGGCCGTAAGAATGGTTAGCCACTTTTAACTTCGACGGAACTGTGAATAGCTTGATGTGATTGGGTCCAGTAGTTCGAACTACGCCTCGGTTTTCAGCGAATCAGGACAGGTCGTCATATTTTTATTCATCTCAAGTGAGAAGATTCCATTTTATTGCAGGTTATGGGATGATAGAGATGATCGTCATTGCAATTTCGACTTTGAATCAATGATTTGTGCAGGATATCAAGTCATGCGCCATAATTCAATCGGTTGCACGAGACGGGAATAACGATAGCGTGGGACGGGGACAAAGATAGCATTTGACGCGGTGGTGCAATGGTTTAGTGCGACGGCATCAAAGTGATAGAGGAAGGGGCCCGGGTTCAATTCCCGGGCAGTGTCAAACTTTTTCCCGAATAATTAAATTTCGATTTCCTCCAAAAAATTGAACACTAAAAACAAGATCACCATTATATTAACACAATAATTTTATGGCTCAGACACAAATCATTCATTGGCTTGGGATTGCCTTCTCGAAGCTTTGGCGAATGGTGTCCGCACTCACCATGTCCCACGCCAATATCGATCGCTTGATCATTGTCAAGCGCTTCATCGCCGCGCTTAGTGTGTCGAACTCGTCGCCATCATCGCCTTCGATGATATCCTCGGCAAGCCAGGTATCTCGAAGGTAACGCTTGAACGGCCCCATGACGCCAACATCTAACGGATGACAGACAGACGTTGCGTTGACCGGCAGGGCAACCAAATGGGTACTGAGTTCCTCATTGACGATCTTGTACGACTAATCACTGACGTGACTGACAAATTTGTCGAACAGGAGAACCGACGGCTCGACAAGCATGGGCAACAGCAGCGAACGCAGGTACGTCTTCCAGACATCGTCGTCCATCCAAGCCTTGTTTTGCATAGCGTACACGTGCCCCGCCTGGAAAGTTGGGAACTCGTTCGTTTCAATGCGGCCACCCGAGGCTCCACGGATGACGAAGAGCGTGGGGAGCTTGGTGCCGTCTGCCCGCGCCGTGAGAACGACTGTCATTCCCATGGAGTGCTTCTCTCCAGACGAAATCTTCGCGCCACCACGGCGTACCTTCCAGATGTATTGCGGCGGCGTGTCGTAGTAGAAGCCCGTCTCATCGACATTGTAGACGGTATCGTGGCCGTATTGTCGGTACGAGCGGTGGAACTCTTCGGCGAACTCGTCTCGGACCTCGATGAGGGCCGCCTAGGACTGCTTACCGCGACCGGCTTTGCGACGAGAGAAGCCGTGACGGTGACAGAAGCGTTGGAGCAGACGCAGTATGCCTTGGTAGTCGGTGCCAAGTGCTTTCCCGGCAAGATACGTGCGTAGCCAGTCAGTTTGAAAGCGCTTAATCCAGGTGATCATGTGCGCGGATTTTAGCGCACTCTCATTTCCTTTATGAACTCCAGCAGGCCAACCGTGTCGGGGAAGCTCTTCGGGGCGACCGCCTGGGCTCAGCTTCATTCGCTTTTTGTTGCCGTCGAAGGCAAGTATGTCGTCCTTTTGGTCGATCCACGACCGAATGTTGCGACGTGGGATGCCAAGGAGTTTAGAGACGTTGTGTACATTGGAGGTCTCTAAGAGCTCGAGCACTTGTAGCCGTACAGCCATCTCGTATCCGCGCTTTCTGCGAAGGCGGAGCGTTGACAGGGTGGTCATTGATTTGCAAAAGAATGTGAGGTGGATTATTTTTAATAATTCCGCGTGGGCGGGAGAATATTATCATCAGCCAATGAATTGACTGTATTCTGGGTAATGATTGTTATTGGATAAAAAGAAAGTTGAAGTCCAAGAATCTTCGACTGGCGAACCATTCTGACGGCGATTGTATTCATCTCCAAGTTGCACAAGGAGGTACCGACTTCCAAATTGTTGGAAAAAAATCGGATTCCATTACCTCGCACCAGGGCAAAAGCAAAAAGAAATGGTCTTGGTTCGATCCAGGCCGGCAGGGATGACATGAAAAGGCAGTCCATGATCACTGCAAGTGGAAACGCTTGCGTCAGGCCAGGGGCTGGAATCCAGAATTCTTGCGAATCTTCATTTGCACACGACGAAGATGGTACAAGCACTCGGCGTTCCTGAGGCGTAGCCTGCAGGGCCTTTAGAATTAATTCCTCGGGCTGAGGGCTAGCACGGCGCTGATGGGCAGTATACCATTCTCGGTGCGAGAGGTCGATGTTGGTGGGAGGGATTTTCTTCGAGGACGTAGCCTTTGCATAGGTACGGTCTTGAGGAGGATCCAGTCGATTGCGAGAGACAGGGGAAGGTCCAAACTCCGGCTTGCGATAGGTGGATGTAATATCCATACCCAGATCGGGTGATGGGTGAACATCAGCATCTCCGTTGGGTCCAATAAAGTTGCCGTCAACACATGGAGCCGGCAAAAACAGCTGGTGCGGCCGGAAAAGTTCGGATTTCTTGATTGTTGACGTCAACACAAGGAGCCGACAAAACAGTTGGGGCCACCGGAAAAGTTTTGATTTCTTGATTGTTGGCGTAGGATTCAGAAGAAATCTGAAACCAGCTGGATTCTTCAGTGCTTGCCACACCCATATCAGCGTCCGTAGAAAAAGTACGAGGGCTCGAGGGTGGGTGGGCTCGCAAGCGCTTCGACGGTACGGGTTGAGAGGTAGAAGCTTCTTCTATCAAAGATAACTGTTGCCGAGAAGCTTTCGATTCAGTCGAGGAACCTCCGTTTCGTTGCAGATTAGACCGTTGACTCGACGAGACGACACAACTAGTGTAAGCAACTGAAGCAAGTTAACGAGGATGCACTGGAGGTGAAAGAATCGACTGCCTCTTCCGAGCTTTGCAAAAGCACGGAAAGAGATCGGGAGGACGGTTCAATCGCAACGAGTTCGGAGGGACCAACTTCGGTGGAGGACGCGCTTACGCTGGCGCCCACGCCAACTAGGGCATCGAGGCTCGTGGCAGCTGAACAAAGTCCACTGCCTACTGCCCTATCAGCGGTTTCGCCATCTCTGGTGAAGAGGTCAGACTGAACGTCGGCTTCAGGGACAGCAGCATCAATGCTAGATGCAACAGGGTCGGCAGCACAAAAAGTGCGTTGGTCAGCAGCACTGGCAGAAGCATGGGAAGCAGCAGAAGACATGGCAGCAAAATTCGAGTTGAGACGGGTACCACTTGTGTACCAGAAGGCAAATTCGAAAGTAACAGTGGATGTCTAGGCTCGCACATCGATGAAGAACGCTGCGAACTGCGATACGTAATGCGAATTGCAGAATTCAGTGAGTCATCGAAATTTTGAACGCATATTGCACTTTCGGGTTAGTCCTGGAAGTATGTCTGTATCAGTGTCCGTTAATACAAAATTGTTTTGTCTTTGGACGAAGCAGAATGTGAAGGTCTTGTTTCGACAAGTCCTTTTAAATGACGGTCCCTGTATAGCTGTTCAAGTACATTATACAAAGGTCTATATGATTCTGATTTCGAATGTTTTGTGTTGAAATTGCACAACTTTTGAAAGAAGGCTAAATTGCGGTAGTTTTGCTTGTGTTTCGGCACGGGTGAACAACATATTGCTTTTTATGTCGTCTGGAAGAGGTTTGTAGTTGAAGGCAGAATGCGGAGTCGGATAGTATGGTCTGGTGTGCTTGTGTCTATATGGAAGCAAATTGGGAAACAACATCCAATTTGGACCTGATATCAGACAAGACTACCCGCTGAATTTAAGCATATAACTAAGCGGAGGAAAAGAAACTAACAAGGATTCCCTCAGTAACGGCGAGTGAAGCGGGAAGAGCTCAAGCTTA